GAAAGAATTTACCAATACCAGACCAGATCTCCAAGAAATTCTCAAGGGAGTGCTATGCCAGGAAAGTTAAATACAGACACACAGAAATAAGAGTTCAAAAACTAAAAGAATGGCCAATTTAATCATAGAGGCAAGTCTAGAGTTGAATATTATATCCCAGAATTTAATCGGGAAAATCAGAACACAACAGAAGATAGATTAAGTACATGAGACTGAACTGGTGAAATAGCATTTTATGACATTTGACTAAAACATTGCTGATTTTCTTCTATGCTTTGTTTTCCTGTTTTAAGGATTTTTGTCCTGTTTTGAGCTGCCAGTAGGTTTATGTACCTACTATTTGAAAGAATCCTAACCTGTTTCCTGGCTTTAAGTTTTCAGTAAATTTCCTTAGTATTTCTTTGATTTATTAAAGCTAAAAGTGCTTTGCTTAAAATTAAAAATATATTTTAAAATACCTTTTTAATGACCATAGTAAGCTCTATAGCATCAGCTAGTTGTTATCTTATAGCATATTCATTCTTCTCAGAGTTTCGCGCCTAAAGTCAGACATGTATTCACAGATATGTACACACCAGCTGAACTTGCTACTGAAGGTAGTTAGATTACTTAAGAAACTTTGTGAATTAATAAAGCGTGTGGGGAAAAGGAATGGAAAACAACTGCAGACACCTAAGATAGTATGGAAGGAGGGTGGGAAATGACAGAGGGTGAGAAATAGGGGTAAAAAAAATTATATATATACATATATATGTATATTAAACTAGAAGTGGAAAATTATTGATGATAACATGTATGATTAAGCCACTATGCAGTATAGTTTGGATGGGAAACCACATTTTGTACGCTGTGACAATGCTCCCGGAATGAACATAAATTAATTAATGAATTAAGATTACAGTGCACTTGTAACTACATTCTAGCTTTGTCCATAGTTTTAGTTTAAGGTATTTTGTGAATCAATAAAATGTGAAAAAAAAGTAAAATAAAAATAACAAAAAATTAAATAAAACAAAAAAAAATATGTAACAGATACAAGTATGGAAAGTTATTGTGTAAAGTATTATCTTTGACTTGCTTGACATGCAATGTTTATGCTTTGAGAACCAATGCCGTATGCTATTAAGATGTATAATGATTAAATTAAATTTAAAAAGTAAATAATAAAAAATAGTTAAAAAAAAGAAAAGAAAAAAGAGCTAGATGAATGCTTTCTTTCCTATAGAAGACTATGTGAACGCTATGCTGAACTGGTTTTTAGTTGCATATGAAGAAGTCACTGCTCTCATTGAAGGAGATCCAGCGGTGGAATGGGGGACCTTGTGCAGATGTACAGAAGGCGTTTACACACAAGAGGGCTGATAAAACAGATAGATTTCCATGGGGGGCGGGGTAGGAAGATCTCTTTCAATCCCAATGTTCTCACGTTCTGTTTCCCAGGAGACACATCCTTTCCTGTCTTCAATACGAGGCACCTGAGACGAAGAACAGGCACTCACCCAAAGTCACACAGCTAGAAAGAACACACCTGACCTCAGACCAGACCACCTCGAGGTCAGGGTCCTTTCTGCCTCCCCCCTGCACAGTATACCGCTTCTCTTGTAGACATCTCCACAGCTCCTCACACGTGTCGTCAAAGCAGGGACAACTGTGAGCTGATACTGTGATCACCATTTTTGCTGTTTTCTTTCTTTTCTTTTTTTTTTTTAAGAGAGATTTTTTTCTATAAGGCACATGCACTTGCCAGAGAGGGGGACAGAAAGTGAGAAATCACCCCTCTCCCCGGGGTGATGGTCATGCTGCAGTCCCTTCTCTTCCATTCTCATCTCGGGATTCTGGGCATGCACACACATGTACCAAGCATGAGTTTTAAGCCTCCGGGTCCAGGACTGGAACCATGGTCGACTATGTGGGAATCCAGCAACGTAACTATTACACCATCTGCTGGTCCCATGATCACCATCTTAAAGATGAGGAAACTGAGTCCCAAATAAAATGTGACCTAAAGTCACACAGGTAGTAACAAAACCAGCATCTAATTTCAGGATTTCAGGCCTATTTACTCTCAACGCTCTGCTCTTACTTTCTTTTTATTTTTCCTTCTTTCTTCTCTTCCTTTTATTTCCTTTCTCTACCTTTCCTTTCCTTCCTTCTCTCTCTTCCTTCCTTTCTTTTTTTAGACAGGATTTTGCCATCCTGCCTCAGCATCCAAGCTGGACCACAGGCATGTGCCACCACTCTCTGCCATTTCTGAGCCAGTATCACTACGACGCACAGGCCAGCCTCAGCCTCCTGAGTCGCTGGGACGAGAGGTACACACCACTGCCTGGCCATCAGGTTGGACTGGGATCAACCGGGGCTTCCCATACCGTCCCAGCCCACAGAGCACAGCATCTTAGCAGTGCACACCACACGGCCAGTCCTCCACCTTCCAAAGGAACTGAGGCTAGACAGCCTTTCCTCTTTTCCCTCTCCTCAAATAACCATTAATGAGGAAGCTACCAAAACACACACATATGTATTTCATATAACAGAATAAAATTGAAAAATATTTATATGTAATATAAGTTATGGGAAGTGGAGCCTTGGGAACTGCTGTTGCTCACCTGCTGGAGAGGTCCCCTGTGGGGGCCGGAGGCACCTGTGAGGTGTCCAGACTCAGACCGCAGGCAAACCGCTATAACCCGTCTGTTGACTAATGCGATACACATGGACCACTCTGACCCATTCACGCAGGTACAGTAACGGGGTATTTCACAAGTATAACACAGACCCAATTAAAGACACATGTATAAAGCCCTCTGTTGCAATCTGTGTCACCTTTAAAGTAAAACGGTTCATTTTAACAGTTCATCCGCACACAACTCTCTCACCAGTTTATGATAAACAGTGGTACGAAGGTAAATCTGTGATCTTTGCACTTCTAGCTGCCAAACAGGCTGATCTGTTCATAGTTCTATGTCGAGCCCCAGGGATCTGGCAAAAGAAATGCTTTTTGCACAGACAGGGACAGGATAACTAGCTGCTGCTCGTGTCCAAGAGCTCCCTCCCTGTGTTACAAGAGTACCAAGAGTACTTTTTTGCCCAAGAATGCTACTGGGAGCCCGAAACACCATCACAAGTGCCCACAGACCACCTCGGTTCCAACAGTCCCCGGAATCAGGCTGGAGCCCTTCCCACTGCAGCTGCACTTCCCAGGCACAGTTCTGCTTCACTAAACTGCACACATGAAATCCTGAGCTCCCAGACCGGCTCATTCTCAGGTCTCAGATCCAGCACAGTCCCTCTAAGGCGGAGGGCTCCACCTCGACAGATTAACCATCCTGAACCGTAGCAGTGCCACGCTCTGCTTAAAACGCGTCCAAATCTCCCCATCCCTGATTCTCCACCTGCCCCCTCTGTAACCTTGGCCACCTCATTCATCTCCACATTTTAGGCAAACCTCACTATTAATTATTTTTTACACTCATCTGGAGTGAGTTTGTTTGCTAACACTGAACCTTCCACCTAAAATGCCCATTTTCAAATCCCCCTAAAGACCTGCACTTAAAAGTCCGGGTCAGATGTCAGCTAGGTTTTCCTCCAATCAGCAGG